TTAACTGGAGGAATTCCATCCAAACATCTGCTCTCACTAAATTCTTCCTCACCTACAGACTGTGTTCTTCACTGCTTTAAACTTGGAAATGAATGCAGCCATTGGTCTGTGTGCTGCTTTTTTCAGAGAGCTGATTGGCTGTTGACAGTGTTTGATCAGAGTGTGTCAGCCGTTACTATAGTGACCATAAAGGCAGAAACAGCAAGTGTTTGTTTCCAATCAATATGCCTGTCACCATTGTCCTCTCACAGCTTCACTGAGAAGCTGCAGCTTTACAGGAAACATTGGATCTTTGTTTCATACTGACTGTGTTTAGTACAAAACTGCTGACAGCACCACCAACTCACTCCAACACTCTACTGACCTCAGAGTCTCCAGTCTGTAGTCTGGACTCTGCTGAAGATCAGACAGCTGCTTCACATCTGGATCCTGCAGCTTGTTTAACCACAGGTTTAGCTCTCTCAGATGGGAGGGGTTGGACTTCAGCGCTGCTGCCAGATAATCACAGCTGATCTTCGACAAACCACAGCTTCTCAAACTGTATAAAGAATGAAAGATGTAAGTTTATTAGACAAAGTGTGAGCTTGAAATCATTCAGTGTTTCATCATCTGTTCAGAGCTGAAGAAGGTTCAGAATGTAGAAGTTTAGAAAATGGAAACTCCAAACAGCTGAAGCCAACAGGAAGCAGCTTCAAACAGGAAACTGTGCAGAGTTTTCAGACTATATGCCCCGATGCCGCCAGTTTGAGTTTGGAGATTTAAATCTCTGTTCTGTGACTAAGTCCTTGAATCATTTCTTCCAGTTTGTCCGATAAGACAGACTAAGTATTGGATGTGTGTAGTCGCTCCATTAGGGGAGCTTCTAAATGTGATGTGATGGCCCCTCTGGGTCTGTCAGATCACAGGACTGAAGAGAGTTCAAACTGAGCACACAGTTGTTCCGGTATGGACCATACACCCTATACTGGAACTGAGGGACTGCTTTGACTGCACCCACTGGGACTTTTTAAAGGCTCATGTTCTCACTTAGATCATCAATTTCTACTTACATTTATTTCTGGGGAAAAATGGGGATTACTTTGAAAACAGGAAGTATTTTCCCAATAAGCAGCCATGGATTAGTAAATCACTCCATCATTGTCTCAGGCTGTCTTGTTATGAGGGAGAGAAGAAAAAGATTGAGGCACATAAACTTGTTCAAAGAGAGATAAAGCAGCTAAAAGGGGGGCAGGGATAGCTCAGTAGACAAGGTTATTGCTCCATTATCGGAAGGTTGGTTGTTTGAATCCACTGAATGGCTACCCTGAGGTACCCATGAGCAAGGTACCGTCCGTACTCACTGCTCCCCGGTGCGCCGGCTTAGTGGCTCCCCACTGCTTCATACATATTTCCCCACAGGGATCACTAAAATTCACAAAATTATTATTTAAAAGTAAAGCAGAGGATGAGCTGAATAAAGGACACTCAAGGCTGGCTTGGAAAGGAATGAAGTCCATGGTGGGGATGCAGAACAAGGACCAAAGATGAATGTGACACTGAATCAGCATAAGACATGGGAGGAAAATGATTGAAGTGTGCTGTGAACTGACTGGGAGATTTTCACACATTTTCCAGTCCTCCTTAGAACAACAGGAAGTTCCTAGCATATGGAAACACAGGTTAAGTGTACTACATACAAACATGGTGACTGACCTCACAGTTTCAAGTCTACATCCTGGACTCTCCAGAAAACCACACAGCTGCTTCACTCCTGAATCCTGCAAGTTGTTGTTTCTAAGGTCCAGCTCTATCAGATGGGAGGGGTTAGACTTCAGCGCTGCTGCCAGATAATCACAGCTGATCTTTGACAAACCACAGCTCCCCAGTCTGTATGAAGAATAAAATATGTTAGTTTATTAGACAAAGTATGTGCTTGAAATCATTCAGTGTTTCATAATCTGTTCAGGGTTGAAGAAGGTTCAGAATGTAGAAGTTTAGAAAATGGAAACTCAAAAAAGCTGAACCACTTTAAACTGTTGAGTTGAATCTATAATCTTAAATGCTTTTGAATGCTTGTCATAATCTTAAATGTTTATATGCAGATTACATTGCATTATAAAAGAAAGGCCCAACTCTGAGTATAGTCTGGGCCTAAAAATCTTGACAGGAAACTGTAGGTTTGCAGAGCATGCTTTGCATCCAGGAAGTGAAACTAAGCAGAGCGTGAGTGACGTGGAGCTTAGAAGGTTAGTCTTACAGCAAAAAGAGTAGCTGAGCAGAGGCCTGAGTGTATTCAGCAACCTGCTGTGTTTGAGTTTGCTTGGTAACAGATGACTGAGAATAAGTCAGGAAGTATACTTCTAAAATGTCTTTGTTCCCTCTGTAAAGTGTGCATTTTGGTTGTCATT